AAATGAAATCGAAGAGATTCCCTACTTATCAGAAACTAGTTTTCTTATCTATTAAGATAAAATACTGAATTTCTGAGATCCAGAAAACGTATTTCTTTGGCATATTTAGTCGAGGTCAGTATCCAAGGCCAAAAGCGATTGGTGTATCGCTAGTGTTTGCAACTGCTGTGCTTGGATATAGGAATTCTAAATGACCAAACTCCTTACCTAGTCTCTTGAAGAATTTCGTTCTTTGGTTACATAAACCGGAAAAATATTTTGCATAAATTTTATGAACACATATTGATGTTAGAAGATCCTTCCTGGGAAGATGTTATATTCTTAACTTTTCCAGAAGTAACGTTGTCATGAAACTCGCATTGTCCGTTATGAGTCAATGTGGACGTCTTTTTTTCTAATTCCCACGAAAACGACTTTCATTAATGGTATTATAATTTTAGCTAAGAGACAGGCGAAACGAAGGACCCGCATGGTGTGGTGGTGAACGCGCTCAACCCCGGAAAGGGTAATAGCGCGTTCGTTCCCCACCATAGACACCTGCGGTCCGGAGTTTTGCACATATTTCAGCATTATTATAGTTGCATTACAATTACTCCATTTCTGAAAACAACAAACAGACGCGAAAGAACAGCCGAATTCCCTAAACTCTAAAATATCTGGAAACTTAAGCAAGTAATCGCTGATTTTGCATACATGTGTTACATATAGGATTGGAATATCCGTTGCCTGATGATGATGATCCTTCTATTTTAGCCAGTCGTGTCATCAAATCCGCACATGTCGTTTGCAGAAGAACCTTCAATGCACATATTCATCTTCTAACTCATCTTCAGCAAATTCCAACTTACGTATTTTTCCTTTACATTTTCCACACAGCTATCATGTATTTTGGAATAATGTGTATGTGGTGCACTTACAGAACTACATTTCATGAAAGAATGTCAGTTATATCTAGCACTCACATGAAACGTCTCTAAGAATCATATCCATCATACTCAAAACAGTATTGGTGTCTGTGGCCACTAAGACAGAAGATGGACAGACGGAAGACTTCAGTATCTCATTATACTTCACTATCTTCTGTTATAAACAAATTCTCCTTTGTCTTAAGTTTTAAAGATGTTATGCATGGAATACAAATTTGATGGCACATCTCAAATGATTAACGTGTTTAGGCTCATCTTCCATTTAGGTCTCATCTAACTGTTAGAATGAATGCGCCTAATTTTGTAGCACTGATCTTCGTGGGCGGTTCACAAACAAAAGGAGAGGAATAGCTATCGAAGAACGGGTGAATGATAAAAGATAGAGCTCTCAGAGTTAATCAATCCCTGAGGGATGCGTCATGCATTCGACTTCATTAAGCATCGTTGGAGGTGATTGAATGTATATCTGGCCTATACAATGACTCACGGTAGCCTACCGATGTATAGAGCCAGTGCTGCTACCTTCCGAGACAAGTCTGGTACCGATTTGCCGACTGCGGAGCATGGTGAGCCTGGGCACAGATTCGACCCGTATTGCATTGCACGTCTAATCATTAGACTAAACGCGGCTCAGCAGAGTGATATGCGCAAAATCAACTACTTCACTGTAACCGTAGGCATAAATGGTTAAAGAAATATAAAGTGCTCGTATTTATATTTCTAGGGAGCATCTGGCTAGAAAGTTGGAAGCAACAAATTTAGTTGTTGACACGACCACGTTTTCTTCAATACAACGGGAACAATTGAGCTTATATCCCAATACAACGGAAGTTCATCATTTAATAGTAGTCACTATTGATATCACTCATATCATTCATGGTATTTTAACAATTAAGTGCAAAAAGTACAAAACACAAATACCTTAAGTATAAAAGAAATAAATTCAACACATAACATGTATTGGCTAAAATTCATTAGCTGTGAAGATTAAGGCCATTTTCAATCGCTGACTGAAATATTTCAACCATAAAGATGACGAGATACGAGCAAAATTCGGGACTTCAGGTAGGCTTTGAACTCGTGATTACTCTTTTCTGGAACACGTGCAATTCACCACATCAACTCACTCGTCAACGGGAATGATCTTGTGAGTGCAAAACTGTTTTGAAGCCAGTTAAGATGAAACTGCATTCAAAATCACAGTCTTTTAACTTTTGATGATTGGTGCACCGTAAGGTTAGAAAACTCGTTGAGAAAAAGGGAAATAAAGGCAAAGATAAGCACTTTGTTGGTGTGGTGGAGAGCACCTCAGCCCTCGGTAAGGGTTCTCGCTGTCGCGAAGCCAAACAACTATGTTTTGCTCATATCTCAGCATCCTTGTGGTTGTATTCCACATAATACCCTGCTATGAAGAACAAAGAATATGCAGTAGAGAAAAAATTAACTTGGACAGATATGCATTCAACCACCTCTGTGATGTTTGATTAACTCATGTGCACGAGGGATCCCTATAAGAAAGCAAAAAAATTAGGGAACTCAACGTTAAAGGCCTCATTCTGGATGAAAGCACTGATTGCTTCTATTCAGATGTACTTCCAAATTATTGTTCCATTCATGGGGATCTCTCTGTTCAATAAACCATTTTAGATAGCCAGCGCAGAAACTGCTAAAATTCTACTTTATACTGGTCGACCTTGAAAAGAAGAGTGGTTTCAACTGAGAGCGATGATGATTGATAACCAACGACTGGACTATGTATGGCAATTAGCACACCATTCGTTAAAAAAAGTTATTTTTCTCCAAAAAGAACAGCTACAAACGTTTCACAATAGTCATGCCTAATAACATCGTAGTTACAGAATTCTGTTCAAAATGAGCTCCTAAGAACGATTTGCTTTGTTTAGTTCCTCCACTGATTTCACACGGCGATCATAAGCAAGTAATTCAAAAGCGAAGTAAATCGATAAGCATCTAATCGATGCAATCGAAATTTTTGTTAAGCATATTCCATTAATTCTCTCCGAGCTTAAAAAAATCATCAATCTCGTGGACATAAAGTGATGAACTCTGACACAATAAGTCTCATGCTCTAAGTTGTTGAGAGGGTAAGGTTAATAAGTAATTGTAGGAACTTATTGTTCGATACAGATATTTCTTCTATGGGCCTTGTTTTTCTTGCACAGGAAATTGATCGCCGATGAAGCTCTTCACAAAGGGAATTTATCACACGCCATGACGACTAAGGAAAAGAACAGTTCAGAAGAAAGAAAAAAAAAACAAGAAAGAAGGAAACGAACGAGCTCGGTTTGTTGTCTGTGAACGGTCTTCTCAAGTTCGGCTACACGAACACTCAAGGATTCATTCTCAGCTAGCAGAAGATCATCTGAACAAATTATCCGTTCGGTCGTTTTCGAGTCTTCTACTTTATGTAGAAGAAAAATCTCAAAGAAGTTCCTTATCCCTATAGAATAAATTTTATTCAAAACCTGGAGGGTTCGGACGATTCTTTCTCACTTTTTATCTTTCATTTTCCCATCATTACAACCGATGAGATGTTTTTCAGTATGCCTACAGCATTAGTAAACTTTAAATGAAGAACATTTGCTTGACATAAGGATTGGCTTCTGAAAAGATACGAATAAAAATTCCCACGTCCGACTTTCTATTAACCTCGGTACCTACCGAATAAATCTTTGTTCTCTCGATAAGCAAACACGAGGTTGTTATTTTATTCTTTATTTATAAAGAAGCTGACGTTCTGCGCGATTTCGCTTTCCTCTAAGCCTGGAAAGGTCAAGTTAGTTGCAATTTACCCAACCAAATATCTCCATAACCAAAGAGAGAATATACTAAACTAGCATCTTAATCACATTAAACACAAAGTAACTTCTTTACAAAGTCACCGCTTTCCACAAGGCGTCCATTGAGTATGTCACGTGGAGACCAGCCAAAATATTGGTTTAGTACTTTCTCTGTTTGGTTATGGAGGTGCTTGACTGGATAAATTGCAGTCAATTTGACCTTTCCAGGCTCTGAGAAAAGGAAATCCTCCGGAACGTCAGATTGTTTATTAAAAATTGAGAAAATGACTATTTCGTGTTTGCTCATCAAGAGATCAGTGAGTTACGAATAGGAAATTTCAAAGAAGGAGTCTAATATGGGCTAGTTACTAATAGAAGGAATATTAATAGCCAGGAATATGTAAGCAGAAAAGGACATTTCAAAAGAGAAAGATTTATGAACCGCACTCGCAAGTGAAAAAGCAGGAAGAGACAAGGAAGAGGATATCCATTAAAATGGATTGCGAAAAAAGAATTGGCAAAAAGTGGATGAAAACACATAGAATACGATTTTCTTTCGTTCTACCTGCTGTTTCTTCCAGAATCGGTACATGTGATGACGGATCGATAGCCATAATGAATGCAACTTTTCCAGTCGACACCACCAAAACACAGTGACGCTCTCAAAAGCAACATAACACCATAACACACTGTGCTAATAAAAACTTCCACAAACAATGCTGCACTTTCCCCGATTCTCCATCTGTGTATACCCTTGGAAAGTCCGCAAAAATCAATATGGAACACGATATATCCTGCTCGGAAGGGATTTCGTCGCACGACCCAAAATCAATAGGCGTCAACTAAATGTGTTCGATGTCTATCTGTTCCGCAACGGTAAAATTCTGTGCTTCTGTATAATATCCAGAGTTCTTGAGGCATTTTAATGACTGTTTAGAAGACGTATGAAAAAGTGGAATTCGATTTATGAGTTATAGTAAGTGCATCGGATGAGGCAAAGGACTTCTTGCGTATTAAATGGGGACGTTCATTGCACGACGTACGATTGGTTGTTTATTTTAATAAGACGAAATTGTCTACCATTTTACTTAGGCATTTTATCAACAACGAGTCAAAACAAAGCAAAAACTTCTTGTGCAAAATTGATGGGTGTCCTGTACAGAAACCGAATCTTGTCGCAGCGCACGTCATCAGGAAATGATCCATTGTTGTCGAATAGTCTGCCTTTCGTAATTCAAAGAAAAAACTCGAGGAGTTTGCTTTTCCAATTCATTCATACATCATCCAGTTGTGAATTCTGTTTACACTTTCCAGTACATTTCACAGTTTCCATCGTTTGCAACTGTTTTCGAACCATAGTTGTTCCATTAGCTGTCAGAACGTCGCCGTCTCCAGATGGATATCCTCGATGGCGGTATGTTGTCCCCTCACCGATTATCCTTACCCCTTCAAGGTTCTTGTTATCTTTTCGGAACTTGTGGAAGAAGTATTGCACAGGAGATTCATCAATCATACCCTGTCCAAATGCGATATTGCTATCGACTAAGTTTCAGAAGATAAAATAGAAATCTGTTTATGAAGAACCTTGTAGAAACAGTGCTCATCGATAACTATTTTTTCAACTGCATTTTTACACGATGTTTTCATCTTCTCTGCCTGTCACTTGCTGCGTTCGTTTCCTATTTTATGAGAGATGGACATCCGGCTTTGTTTTCATTATCGTTTGAATGAAAACACTTCGAACACGTCGTCACTCGCTATTTTAATAGAGTTGCGAACGAATGAAGAAATTTAAGTAGGATAGTATAAAGTACACAGTAGGATAAATAATGAGCAAGAAAATTCAAGGCTAACCGTGTTAGGAGGTATGACACTCCCTGATGGTGAGGGTTCGTCATTAGAATCGGGACCGAGTTTCACACCTTCTGAACCAATTTCTAAGGTAACCTTGCGTAGGGTCGCATGTGGTTTACATGAACTTCAAGATAGACTCCGCAAAAAAGTTAGAGATGAAACGCAAAATAGGTGCGAACAACACCCAGTAGGGGCCCCACCAAATTTTCGGATGTTTACGAATGAAACTCTCAAAGTCTTCAATCACCATCCCGCGAAAAGATGCAGCTCAAACCTCACTGAAGTGCAAAAACGTCTCAACTAAAAGTTGACTTACCTACATGTCCCGTTTTGTACCTGCTTATAAAAACTCATAAGTTACTAATCCACTGATGATCTTGCGTCTACCGATCCATCATTGTTTAAGACCTATCATTAGCTGCGTAGACGGGCCAACGGATAGGATAACATGGTTTTTAACCCTAGTATTTATCCAGTTGCTGAAGCACATTCCAGCCCATTTTACGAATACCCAGATGTTTCTGGATAGACTGCGTACTGCGCCGTCCAACAGCGCGTGCGTGATGGAGTCCTTCGACGTTACCGCCCTTTATACAAACGTGTTGAATGACTCCGTAATGCAAGCCATATTCGAACTCCTTACACAACACGAAGGAGAAATAAACATGTATGGTTTCAGGATAGAGCACTTGATGGCACTCTTAAAAGAATGCTTAAGCTGCTCAATCTTCATATGGTCCAGTACCACGCTCAAATAAGCGGGTTGGGAATGAGACAACGACTGGCGCCAAGTCTCGCCATTGCGTTTATGTCTAAGGTGGAAGCACCGGTGATTGATCTCGGACCGCTACTCTACTGTAGATATATAGATGACTGTTTTGTCCTTTGCTCAACACAAGAGGAAATGGACAAAAGTTTCGAGCTGTTGAATGAACAGTCAGAGTATATCAAGTTTACCACCAAATGAGTATCAAGTAACTATGAACATAAAAGTTTAAGTACGAGGCGGCTGCTATAGTGGTAAGGCAGATCATCAAGAGCACACACTGGTTTGACCCCATAAAGCTTCTTATCCTTCTGGGATCAGGAGATTGGTACCAGACTTGTCTGATAAAGTTCACTCTTTGCAATCCAAGTGGATACTTTCTAGCACGGTTATCTTAGAACTCAAGGGAGAATCGACTCGAGCAGCATTCAATAACAGCCACGACGAAATAAAATAATAACCGGTCGAGCCCAGACACAAATGTTAGACGACCTTCGTAGATGATGGATGCGACGGAACGAATCCAATGCAGGAAGTGCTGGTGTCCGCACAGTAGATAAAGACGGGTGGTGTACTTTTTTGAAATAGTAAACTCTAGTAGTTCACAATTAGAGCAAACTATCGAAATAGTCTGCGGTTCTCCTGAACTTACGTGGCAATCGAATGACGGGAAGCATAACAGTATGTTGTTGGGCCATCACATCTCTTTTACCTTCTACTTTCAGAGTAAGTCCAAACAACAGTGCTAAGGCTTTAGAAATATGGAAGGATAGTGCAAAAGGTGACTTTCCTACTCGTGTTTCCTTTTTTTAAAAAAAGTACACCACCCGTCTTTGAAAGGTCAGGAAGAAGGATAAGATTCCAAACGGCGAAAAACGGAAAACGGTCAGCACTTGAGAATCTTTCAGTTTGAGTGGAAATAAGAGCTGTGTGGATTGCTGAAGTTAGAGCATCTGAATCGGTCACAAGGAAGAACTTGGAAGCTTGAAAGCTGGGCAGAAGCTCATCAACTAGCTACCCAAGCAAGAAATTGCTGAGTTCAGCTGTTTGAGTAAACAGTTAATTGTACAAGATTATGGAACCGACATTTGACCGACACCACATGAGCCTTGCAGAAAGCAGAATTCTGCATCCCAAAGAGCTCTCGAGGAATGAGTAGTCTGAGGACCAATAAACGCAGAAAAGACAGTGGAATAAAAAGCAGATTAGGCAGTAGGAAATGTAACTTGAAATCGAAGAAATTTACTGAAGAAAATATTGATGTGTGACAGCAGGGTTTGGGTGGATCATAATGTGCAAGGCTAATTATCGCACAACTTTCCTGAGCAAAGAAAGAGTGTGATATAGCTCCTAGCATTCGTATAGTTGTGTTTTCATGTACTTACTACATGATCGTTTTCAGCAAATGTTCACTTTAGTGTGGAATAGAGCACTTACTGAACTGGTTCCGATGAGATCTCGCCGAAGAACGAACTGTGTAGAAACCATTTGGCAATGTTGCGTACGGAGAATACATTCTATTAGACGAATCAAAGATTGATCGAATAAGAAAAATTAATGTTATCAATACGATGACGATAGAGATGAACCATAGCATCTTCCAGCGATAGGAATGAATCACAAGACAATGATACTGGGAGAGACGTTAAAACTCTACTAAACGATGGCTTTTATCGTGAGCCACATGGACAATCGTGACAAACAGTCAAAATTTTCCAGTGCTAAAACCGTTTTCAACATCTCAAGCAATCTAAATGCTTTTTTGACATGAAAGTCGCAGAAGCTTTAAACTTATATTGCTCTTTTAAGAGGTCGATCAAACCACACATAAAAAATGGCATGCCGTACGAATAACTTTTATAAAGGTCCGAAAAATGAGGTTAGAAGCAGTGCAAGTTCCTTTTAACGTCGGTGTATCAACGTGAGTCCTTAATGAAAGCTCAGGTTAGATGATCAAATTGGTAGCTATGGCGCATGTGCCACCACCGTTGTCGCTTCCATAGCAATGCATAATCGAAAGCATCCGGAGGAAGTCGCCCACAATCATATGTAATAACGAAAAACGTCTTGTCAAAGTAAAAAACAAAGGTTTCGCTTATCTAATCCTCTAGAAGTCGGATGCGATTTGCTACATTGTCTTGGAGTGGTTGGTCAATCTTAAGAACCGTTAACATCAGAGTCAGTAGGCGGCCACTGCCTCTGAGTTATTAACACCCTTCCACGACACCTCCAGTGATAACAACATTCGACCAGTATTCAGTATGTCATAAAAGGAAGGAAAATAGCGGATTCTTTTTGTTGGGCAAGCCAACAACAATACATCAACTGGAAAATTTTTATGAGATAACCGTTTGGAGGGCGCATTGTGGCACAGTGGTTAGAGACGCCCAACAAAACACATGGATTCAGTCTCGCCCTCCAGGCTCACCAAGCACTCCATCCCTCCGGGGTTGGTAAATTGGTGCAGGACTTACTGGAAGAATAGCATCACTAGCTTGAAGCATCGGCAGGCCACCGCGAGTCATTGTATAGGTCAGATGCGTAGTCATTTACCTCTAACGACGCCTAATGAAGTCGAATGCATGGGGCGTCCCTCAAGGAAAGATCAACGCCGAGAATTTCATCCTTTATTTTATTATGAACCGTTATAAGACAAAGAAATAACCACAGTACCATTCTTGGAGCAGTGAAGGTGGATCATCTGAGCATCCAATGAAGTGATAGTTCTACTAAGCGCTGTTGGTATCCCAGGAAAATTCCAGAAATGGCGTTCAAATTTATTACAGAATATTTTAGCTAGAACGTTCCCACCGTTAACAACTTTAAATAAACATAAGTGATTTTGACTAAACAATGGAAATATCATGAAATGAATAAGTGCAAAATCCTGGAAAGGAACCCCGACATTCCTAATAATCTTCTCATGGGGTCGTTTGAAATTTTCGTTATTTTCACAGTGCTATAGGCAGTCCGGGCCCACTGCAATAGCGCCAAACTTCGATATCATACTTACTAAAAACTCGTTTTTCTGGCTGTTACAGATAAACGGTGTGCTTAGAGTTGAGAACAATGATGGAAAACAAGGTGCAGAAAAATAGAGAGAGAACTACGGAAAGCAGATGGTAAGGGAACTGGGAAGGAAGCAGAAATAGAACTAGTATTGTAAATCTTCGGAATAAATGATAGTAGTGTAATGAATAATGTTCTCGGCATTGATCAATTTCCTAAGAATGCGACATGCATTCGACTTTACTAACCATCGTTAGAGATTATTGAATGCATATCTAGCCTTTAAAATGACTCGCAGTGCACCACCGATGTATCGAGTCAGTGCTACGATCCTCCTAGGTAAGCCTGGTACCAATTTGCCGACCCCAAAGAGATGGAAGGTTTGGTGAGATTTGGGCGTAGAGGTCGATCCCATGTGGATGGCAGGGCGTCTCCGACCACTGCTCTACACGCGCCCTGAGAGAAATGGTGAAAATTGGAATGATCGCGAACATAAGCGAACAGATCTCATTTTTCCAATAAGGCAAACTCCATGAAGGGATTTGGTTCTTCGTAAAACATTTTAACGATGCGTGTGTTAGTTTCGTTCCCAACAGTTGGAAGTTTTCCGCTTTGAAATGTTGTTGCAAGCAAAACATAATATGGGAAAGCAAACCGACTTCACAGGTAGATGGGTTAACAATAAGGTGTGTACATATAGAATTTTATCAAATTTATGTAGTAATGCGCGCATTTGAAATGTCGGACAATATGGGCAGGTCACGTGAAATCCAACAAAGCGGGGTCTTTGGTAGGATCAACCACTATCTGGAACAATGACGTTCTGTCCACTGGAAATCAGGGTTGTTTTTCGTATGAAATAACTTTTTCTTTATCTACAGCGA